GGGATGGTGACTATTCCTAACCAGTCTTGCATGCAGCATCATTGAGTTATGAGGCCTTCCCTGTGCACAGCACCCCACTGTCAGCCATTAGACATCCTCGGTTTAGCTCATTGCCTATTTACATAGGCCTAGAGTAGAAAGTCATTTCTTTCCCATCCCGCTTGTGTTTGTTTCCCCTTGATTGATGACTGTCCTCGTGGTTGTGGCGGGGTCTAATTAGAAACGTGGCTGACACGATGTGCGTGTGTTTGTGAGGCTTGCAGTCAGGCTGCAGTCAGGCCGGTCTTATTATTCGTCTGCCCTGGATCCTGTTTATTGGTGCTGAAGATGGAGCATTTCTTTCATTTGCAAGAAACGTGCTGCCTGCATCGGAGACCAGAAGGGCACTCTTCCAGATCCGTGAGCTTGGGAATGTAGCCCCCCATTCCATCTTCAGTTCTGTTCTGTCCTTTTAAACTCTGCGACAAGGGGAGTATTGGTGCTGTTGGTGTGTTTATCAGTAAGAGCCCTAAATGAGGATTAAACCACCTGAGATCGCCCCCCACTTTAGTCTTCGTGACGTATTCCTGATCCTGCTGACTCATAAAGCTCCACGCAGTCACCCAGGCACGCTCGGTCACTCCTGCAAGTCCTGCGTGTTTCAGCTATAGATACCATGCCGCTGCGCACCAGGGTGCCGAAGGCCTGTGTGTTTCCAGGGGTGGGGGGGGTTGGGAGGAAATGAGGGATTCGGAAGTTCAGCAAGCTTACCTCGTACTGTCATGTGTAAGTAGTTAGGCCTGTATTGGACTCCTGTAGCTAGAAAGTTGGGATTACGGGGGCTTTGTGGACCGTATGTAGGGCAGGGCAGCTGGGGGCATGGTTCCCTCAGTCCACCTTCTGCTCTGTGCTCCACACTTTACCTTCACCTGCAGCCTGAGTGCCCGGTCTGTAATTGAGAAGCTGGTTGCTGCAGTGCACGGCAGTGTAGTGGCCGTGCGGGAAAGATTTCACAGTGCCCTTGGAAACGCACAGACCCAACTGTCCCTTGACCTCTGCCATAAGGAAAGTCAAGTCACAGGCCTGAAATCAGGCTTCTGTCACAACAGTTTCTAATGCGAGAGCGCACCAGCTCTGCAGCTTGAGGGCTGAGTGAAAATGCCAGACACCCAGAGCGTGCCTTTTGGGGTTTTTGTTTGTGCGTTGCAGGTATTCAAAAGCCTCAAAGGCAGTAACAGGGTCAATGCACTGAACATCTTTCATATAAACAGCGAAACACGGAACAGGAGGACACGAGTGGAAACCAGGTGGAAGTGTCTATCTAAGACACGGTGTCAGACATGGCTGCAGGTGGGAGGGGCACTTTCACAGACACGCCCCTCGCCGGGAGGGGCTCTGTCTCGAACACGCCCCATGGAGGAGGGGCACCGTTTCAGACACACACCCAGGTTTTACCCTTCTTCAGATCTCATCAGTTACATTTCAGCCACCACATCTGACTCAGGGCAGACCTGCGGCTCAGAAGTGGGTCCAGGGTTCACCAGTTGCGTATCCCCTACAAGCAAGTTCACACATATGTCCCGGATGCAGAACTGAAATCAGTGTGCCTACAGTTAAGAACTCCTCTGGAGCCAGTCCCTGAAGAGACCATGTTCCTCCAGGACCAGGGCTGGGCGCCACTGCTCCATAACGTGCCCGTTGGCTTCGATGCCCCACAGTCACTCTAGCCTGCTCCAGCTGGATTGCTGTGGCAGTGTGAAAGGCACGCTGTGTGCGCGCGTGCCGTTAAACAGGCCAGTGCCCTTCAACCCAAGAAGCTCCTCCTTGGGCCCCGCTGTCGCGTTGCATCCTCTCGATTAGTGTGCGGAGTTATTTGTTCCAGGAGAAAACGACATTTCCCCCCTTGGCGCTGTGCTCTGTGAAAATTGGGAAAGGAAACGAGACGATGACCTTGGTATGTTTCAGAGGAGGGAGTAAATAAAGGCAATTGTCTGCAGCCACATCGTTCGAACGTTCTGACAATAAAACGGAAGATCTAGTATTATGGCAGAATCCTGAATTGCCTTTTTGTTTTTATTTACAGTTCTGTGCTTGAGGCAGGTTTATTCTGGTGAGAATCCTGTTGCAACGAATCTATACAATAGGCCACATTAAACCCAGAGTTAGTGTCCTCGAAGGAAAGAAATACAGCATAATCCACACCTTAGAGGATTGTTTGCAGGGTGACATACAAATTTAGAGAACATGGAAGAGTTTGTGTCCGAGTCTCCTGCCCGGTGTAGCCTCACCTCTCGCCCTGTGATGAGTGAGTGTCCTGTCCAGGTGAGCGAGAGTCCTGTCCAGGTGTAGCTCTGCCTCACGCCCTGTGATAAGGGAGTGTCCTGTCCCAGTGTAGCCTCACCTCTCGCCCTGTGATGAGCGAGTGTCCTGTCCAGGTGTCCTGTCCAGGTGAGCGAGAGTCCTGTCCAGGTGTCCTGTCCAAATGAGCGAGTGTCCTGTCCAGGTGTAGCTCTGCCTCACGCCCTGTGTTTCCAGGATAGGCTGTGGGTTTCCATGGCTCTTACCAGGATTAAATGGCTGTCTGATAATGCAACGGATGAATGCATGTGCCTCATTGTAATTCCCTGGTGTAATCTGGGATATTGACAGATTGTGGACAGATCTTTCTGTGAGGTCGCATCACAGTGTATTATATCTGCAATTAATTCAGTTTCTTGTCCTTTGAATCCACATGCAGTGGCGTCCGTGCTGCATACAACTGGCCGAGCACCTTTGCATAAAGAGACTTCTCATATACAGAGCAAGGCCTTTCAGGACAGGAGGTTCTATGCTCTACTCTTGCACTGTTACTCTCGCAGTATGACTCTTAGATGCACAAGCCCATTAAGAAGAAACGTTTGATAAAAAGATTGTTTTATGCATCTCCAGCGGAAGTGTAGTAGACCAGGGGGAGGAGAGAGAAACTGCAGCACCAGGTGGATTCAAGCCCTGAGTGGGACTCAAGATGGACATGGGGGTTCACAACCCTACCCTACAGCCACAGGAACGATACAGGCCAAGGAGTCACAAGCTTAGCTTTGTCTCACTTAAAGGGTGGCACCTCCTACAACACAGTGACCACAGTCGCCGTATTGCAGTGTTTGTTCAGAGATTCCAGTCTGGAGGGAAGAGTGCCACCTACAGGTCCACCAGCACCACTTCCAGCAGCCACCTACAGCTGACTGTGCCAGGCCAGCCTGATGCTCACCTGGCACCCGGCTAAAAACATTTTGCTTGTTGTTGCATGAGCAGGACTCGAACCTGGGACTCTAGAGGGTCATAAACACAGCCGAATTAAATTTCTGTGTGACAGGCGCCACTTGCTTTGTTTGTTTTTTACTTACTCGTGTGCGTGGTGTGCCATGGCCAGGAAGGGACTGAGCAATTAGAACGAAGCCTGCTCTTTTGTCGTGCAGCTGCTCGAGATGAAGGGAAAGCGTCAGAGTGGAAGGCATGCGGTTTTATTGAAGCCACCTCTTCGGCACACGTGGTGGGGGGGCATTTCTTATTGTTCATTATTGTATTGCAGTTATTATTATATCACATTATTGTATGCAGGTGCTCTGGCCTCCTCCCACAGTCCAGAGACATGCTGGCAGGTTAATTGGCTTCTGGGACAATTGGCCGAGT